AGAAAAAATAAGAAAACAACAACAGCAGCAGAAGAGGAAAGAACGGGAGGACTGCTGTCCCCGTGTGTCGCGTAGCTGCATACCTATGTTTGTATAAAGAAAACAAATAAAAAATAATAAATAAATAATAAATAAATATATAAATACTATAAACATATAAACATATAAATGCTGTAAATGAAACAAAGAGGAGAAAAAGAAAACAACATATCTGCCTCGCCGCTTGAATACGACAAAGAAAGACGAAACAGAGGCGGAAACTTCTGCAGCAACAAAACAAAGCCCCAAAACGCATGCACTCCACCTGCATGCATGCATGCATGCATGCATGGATGCATGGATGCAGGGTCACTTACTTCTGCGAGGTTGCTGGTCTTGAGAGGCGTGGGTATATCCTCAGGGGGGTTGTCGTGGTGGTGCGTGCAGTACTCCACCACCTTCTTCAGTATATAGCTGCTAACCTTGGGCAGCGGAACCACGTCGGTGTCATCTCCATCTGCAGCAGCAGCAGCAGCAGCAGCAACAGCAGCAGCAGCAGGAACAGCAGCAGCAGCAGCAGCAGAAACACAAACAGAAGCAACGGCTAAATGAAAGGCAAGGATGATTCAAATAGACCCCAAATGCTTGACTAGACACAGGAGGAGTGCATGCTGCAACAAGAGAAGAACTTTTTCATAGATTAATGTTTTCTGAATATCCTAGTATAAGAGCTGAAACGATGGTTATGTATGTTGAATTTCAGGTGTATGTTCACCTTCTGTCATCGACTTGACGAGTAAAGAGGCAGAAGCAACTTCTCTAGGTACTTTAAATTCCTCTCCTTCGCTAGAAACAAGAACGACGCATCTTTGTTCCGCCTCCATTGCAAACTTGAACTGAAACCGCAAGAAAGCTGAATATACACCGCAGCCGAAGAGGAATCCTTGAGGGTCAGAGCTCGCGAGACGGCTAGAATAAAGGCTAAATTCAAAAAGGGAAGACTTGTTTTGCTATTTTTTGTGAAAAAAACAAAGAAAATGCCGCTTTATCCCGCTGTAGCCAACAGAACACGAAACGGAAACACAGAACTCCAAGCATGCAGCTCGGCGCGGTTGGGGCGGCAGTGTCAGCTTAAGGATCCTTCTGGTATTGATCAGAAAAGAAGAAACCAGTAAATAATACTCTAAATATCACATGGAAATTCATAAACAAACGAAACCCTCTAAACATTCAAATACAAGAAAGCCGCAAATGTCTGTCTGAATGGCTGGCTGAGCGGCAGTGGTTGTCGCGGGCTGCCTGCCGCCAGGTGTTGTCTGCATGCTAGTTTTCTTTGTTTTCTGCGCCTCAACATGAAATAAAATAGTAAATTATATGCAGAAAAAGAACTAAGAACAAATAGAAATCATAACGGTTCCGTCAGCTGCCGCCGCCGCCGCAGCAGCAGCAGCAACCGTGCACTTTCCCGATGCTCCTTTGATCTGCAATGAAGGCTTTATCTGTTTTCTTTGGTTATTACTTCAACTGTATAGACTGCAGCTCGAGCCTTAGAAGGTCGCAGCGCCACGCCTTGATAGCGGTGTGTGTTCTGTATAGATAGATGAACTTCATAGCGCCAGGTGTATGTATGCAACCAGTGAAGGCTGAATATAGAATAAGAATAAACTAAATATATATGTAACCGAAGCACCTAGTAGTTATATATTCATCGATCACGTCGTTCGGTGCCTGAAAACACTGGTGCCTGTGTTCTTGCTTGCTGGCTAGCTAGCACCAAGCAAAAGTATAACAACGGATCAGCTGCAAGCAACGAATCCCACCCTCTGCACGAGGGCAGCCTGTTGCTTGGTGTTTAGTTAGTGGCGAGGGCGCTGTAAATATGTAGAACTTAGGAAACTATATATATATATATATATATATATATATATATATATATATAAGCCATGCATTGCTAGCAAGTGTAACGAGAGTCATGGATCTTATCTGAGGAGAGGTGTGAGCTGTATTGGGGGGGCCGTACTGAAGCGGGCTTTTGATTCTTTGCAGCGAGCAAGGCTACATAATTTGATATTCCAGACACATAGAAAAAAAACTAAACAAGTAAAGAACAAATAAAACAATTGAACTGCTTAGCCCCCGTGCACCTGACGGTGCACCTATGGAGTCGAAAGAAGTGGCAACCATGGATGCATATACACCTCGTTGTGAGCGTTCTCGCTCGGATCCATGAACAGCTTTGTGCTGCAATAAAGTTGAAATACTTGAACTAAGAATTTCAGCAGAGAAGTAGCTTCACCGCCCGTCAGCTGGCGGCCTGGATCAAGCAGCCCAAGGGCCTGAGGGGGGGAGAGGAGGCGGTGGCTTGAGATGAGCTGCAACGCACCCTGCTGCAACTCGTGCTGCAGCGCAGCTCCACGTGCATGCACAACAAAGTCCTATGGCTGCACTTATTAACACTGTAGATGAATGTTTGAGCATCTAGTTGCTCCTCAGTGACCAGCCTGCACGGCAAATACAATACACAGACCAACTTCGACTCAACTCTCTGCTTACCTATATTCGTATTAGTAATCAGAATTTAATACTATGCTGTAATATGGGATTCGAAGTGTATCTGATAGCTGAAGCTACACTGAGGCTGTATCCGTCTATCTGTTGACACAGACTCAGCGAAGAAATGAATGCACACCGCCGTGGCGGTGAAGACGGTGGCTCCGCGTGATAGGATTCATGTAACAGCAGGGGAATAGCAAAAGTGGGCGCAATCGAAAGAAGTATTCTGAAGTTTACTAAAAAACCAGAGTATACCGGCGGGAGAGCCGCCCGCTGGGGGTCAACGCATTGAATTCAACTTACTCCTGGAGCAGCCTCACGTTCGCTCCATGGAGCCGAGAACCCCTGCATATATAATACATAGATAAATATATATATATATATATATATATATATATATATATATATATATATATATATATATATATATATATATAATCGAGGGGAAAGCAAATGGATTGCTAAGAAAAAAAAATTCAAATATCAAGCAGCTCGCTTGAATACAATACGATGCTGACGAAGGCCAAGGACGGGAGGTAGCAGCTGTATGTTACCGCCAACCCCTTAAACAAACGAATTGCGTTACTACCTGCATAAATCAGAAACCTATTTATTATTTTGTTTCCCTGAGACGTTTCTGCATATCTGAATTTATCCCCGCACCAGGAAAAGGACGGCGTGCTATGCCCACGCTCGTAAACTAGACTACACCTGAATGCCTTTTGGGCTCGTGAATACATCTGCCGAATTGCAGCGATAGGATATTCACGGTTTCTTGAGATAAATCTGCGAGAGTTATATATATGTATATGCATAGACAACGCGCTCATGCTCAGTAGGAAGGTGCAGGAACAGTTGCTTTATGTGCAGCGTGCTCTGCAACTGCTACGCGAGACGAACTGGTTTCCGAGAACGTGAAAAAGTTTCAGTTTTCCTTAATGTTTTGAGTCTATACAGCAAAAGAATAAGCATAATATATATTATTCTTTGCAGCGCTCGTTGCAGCAAGCAACGCTGCGGTTCAACTCTTGCCAGGCGGCCTCATCGATGTGCCTTTGGCTCCAGTACAGCTCAGATAAGATGAAGGATTCTCCTTAGAATCCTGTGTTTCAGCACAGGCGAATACACAATCCCCCTTTCTATGTACGCACTCACACTATGGGCAAGAATTCAACTTTTTCTTGGCCCGCAGTGCCCAGCCTGCACGAAAGTAAAAGTTCATGTACGAGCCTCATACAGATCATGGTGCTCTGTATCACCTGCATCAAGGAAACCCTACATACAAGCGAGCCTGATCCCCTCTTCTGCACTAACACTATATAAAATCCTTAAAAATTGTTTAAGGATTTTCTCAGTAGCCAGCCCGCACGCCAGTAGAAGTATAAATATATATACCACAGTCTAACTGAACATATTGTATACCGTGTACAAACGTACGTGGTCAACAGCTGCATTTATGATCAGAAAAAGCATGCACATGCATAAACTATTCAAATTGGGCCTGAATCAATGAAAACAATTCACAGAAAATAACAAATACATTACTTTCGATAGAGGCTAACTATAAACTTTCTATGGAAGCGTGATGCTGAAGCAGAACGCGTTGGGGGCCCCCAGGAGCCGGTGAGGGGCCCTTCTCACCGCGATGTACAGGCATCTCCCTTTTAGCCACAGGACGAAACTTCTTTGAGTTGTTTATTTGTATTTTGTTATTTAGTATTGCATACCGCTTTTTATTTGTGTTTTCCATTTACCTCGATTACGGGCTTCGTGCGGCCCCTGGCAGTGTACCCCCCGCCTAGATGCGCTTCTGTGCAACTCGCAGCAATTTTGTTTCTCCTCATTTATTTTTTATCCCCAACATGGAATTTCTGAACTTTAGTGTTTAGGGTTTAGGGTTTAACCTAGAAGGATCCCGGGCGTGGCCGCCGCTCTTGTCTCGATAGCAAGCTCGCTCGAAGCCCCTCTGTACCCAAGCTCCTCATACAGCGTGTAGGGTAGAGAGGGTTTCGGCTGTAGGGCTGAAGAGTGCAAGAACCAGAGTCCATGGCTGCGGGTCTAGAGCTCCCTCTCGGGGTTTCGCTTTAGGGCTGGGAAGGGTTTAGGGTTTTCACCTCCCTATGTCGGCTGCGAATCAGGGCAATGCCGGAGGGGAACCCAAAGACGCGGGGGCCTCCCCAGCAGGAGAGGGTACTGGGGGGCCCCGTCCAGGGGCCCCTCGCAGTTCTGCGACGCTTTCTGGGGAGGACTTGTCTACTGCGTACAACTTGGGCCTCCGAAACAACAATGAATTAACACAGCAACTTCTTCTTGATCAGGTATACTGTGTTAAAACCCTCACTGTACCTACTAGCCACAGACAGCTAGGGTTACAGAAAAAACTGCTGATAGTCTAGGGTTTATTATGTGCTCTACAGGGCTGGTCGAGGGAAAAGATCGTCGCCGTCTTCAACCGACTGAATGAGGCGAGAGCGGGGATCATCCGGAAGAAGGGAGATAGTAAGCACAAGGGTTTGGGGTTTAGGGTTTAGTTTACAGGCAGACCCTTCGAATTTAGGGTTTAGGGTTTAGGGTTTAGGGTTTAATGCTGGGTGCTGCTTCAGGCGTGTGCTGCGTCGTTCGGCCTGCCAACGTTATCCCTGCCCTGAAGCAGCTCGATGCGCTCGACTACAAAGTTTACTGTGCCGTTGAGCTAGCGGGAAACACGGGTAAACCCTAGTTCTAAACCCTAAACCCTACGTCCTCATCCTAGACCCTACAACACCATATATTTCCGCTTTCTATGAAACAACAATCCCTACCAGGAGCATTCAGTTGTGTATACAGCGCAGCGATGAAAGTGCTTGGCTTAGGTGTAGGGTTTAGGGGTCCAGCATTTGTGTTCAGGTGTATGGACAGCAGATATACGGAAGAGCACAGGCCTCCAGACCCATATTATCCAACGCGGGGTTCGAAATCTATGCGAAAATTTACAGCTCATAAAGCCGGTGAAGAGTATTCATGTGAAAAACAGAAAGATGTACATCTTAGCTCACATTGAGCCAGCTAAAGAGGTGCGAACAAACCCCCTACGATGCCTAAACCCTAAACCCTAAACCCTAAGTTTTTCGTTATCCAGTATTAGGGTTTATATGCACCGAAACGCGGATCGACTGTTCTTCTGTGGTGGCCTCATTGGATGCTTGGGCGGCGGAAACCCCCACCCTAACCCCTAAACACTTGCGCAACTGATGCTTAAACATTAGTGGCTAGGGTTGGTGGTTTAGGGTTTAGGGTTTGGGATTTGGGGCTGCTGTGTCGCTTGCTTGCAGATAGCTGGTGGCTCCTTCTACACGAATGGAGAGTTTAACGAGCAACTTGTAGAGGTACGAACTGGCAAGGGTTTTGGATATGAAGCTTAGGGTTGGGGGTTTAGGGTCTAGCCGCCAGCGGCTGCAGCATAGACACCTCCTCCTTGTGTTTTGCTGCTAAGGGTTAAGGGTTTAGGGGTTTGGTGTTTCGATGGCCAGAGCAGGATGCTGCTAGGCTGACATTCTGTTCTTGCCCTCTTCTACGATTCGAAAACCAGGGTCTAGGGTTTAGGGTTTAGGGTTTAGGGTTTAGGGTTTAGGCTCTTGGATATGGGACGTTACTGTTTGCAGCAACTGCGCGAGCGCCTGGCGATGTTTTTGTCCAACGCCCGATCCTCCACCTTCTCTGCCCTCGTGGCTTTCATGCGCAGCAGCGGTANGCGATGTTTTTGTCCAACGCCCGATCCTCCACCTTCTCTGCCCTCGTGGCTTTCATGCGCAGCAGCGGTAACTTATGGAGCACGAAACAGTTGAATCTTTTTCTATGAGTGTTTGAGCCAATACAGATGTTCTGCATTGGTAGTGTTTTGTATCTTTGCATGTGGTAGTCGCCGTAGTGGGCTCGGCCGTTGCATTGCAGTCTGCCGCTATAGTGCAGGAAGAGTCAGAGCAGGAGCAACCCGGGTCCAGTTCGTTAGCAGCTACAGCAGGTGCAGCAGCTGTATGCAGTGCAGTAGCTGCAGGTAGTGCAGCAACCCCTGACCCTGCAACAAGCGCAGCAGCAGCAGCAACTGGAACAGCAGTGGCAGCTGAGGTGCGTGTACACTTCAGGCGATGCGGGCGGCGCCTGCTTCACAGACGAGGATATATCTCAGTTGGTGGCCACCCTGGAGTGTGAAGACAAAGTTGCGCGAATTCGTACAGGAACGGAAACAACCTTTGTCGTAAGTCGACTCTGCTGCTGCTGCTGTTGCTGCTGTTGGTGAAGATGCTTGTGCTGCTGAGTAAAGGGTTTCTCCCTGGGGAGTAGCGGGGCCGCTAGGTGTTAGTAAGAGTATCACTGTTGCTGTGTGGTGTGCGCGCAGTGGAACCAAAGCGAAAACCTGCGGCTGCTCGACAGCGTTCCATGTATCGGCTGCCCTCTCGTGGAGGACTGCAGCGCAAATGGAAAAATTAATCCTCGAGAATGCACCTACCTCTCTCACTGGCTTGGGCTGGACGTAGACGTAAGAGTGTGGCGTTCCGAATCAAGAGCTTAGAGTTTAGTGTTCAGTCGGCAGCTTGGGGCCAAGGGTTTAGCCTCATGGGGTTAGGGTTTCGGCTGCACAGCACTGCAGCCGCTGCACCGGTGTTACCTTAGTGCGGGATGCAGATGCTCTTATGGGTGTGGGTTTAGATTTTAGCAAAAAGTTTGGCTGCTGCTGTGTTGTACTGTTCAGATGGAGGTGCAGGGCGAGGAGGAGGCTGATGCATAGCGCAAGGCGTGCAGCCCTGCTAGCTTGTATTGGCCTTTTAGGGTTGGTTGTTTGTGGTATGGGGAGATGGGGTAGACCCAATGGCATGTTCAACGAGCCCACGAATTTCTCTCCGCTTTGTGTTGCGTTTCGTTCCTTTTCTGCAACTCTGGAATTAACTTTTGGACCGAAGACTTGTAGATAAGCTGTGCAAAAACAAAACAAGCTCTACTTTTTGGCTTAATTGGTGTTCCGTCTACGTTGGCCGCTTGCCTAATGGAACCCACTAACAACCACGGATAGCAGCACAGTCGTAGCGGGGGAGCTCTCAAGCGGTGATGTGGGCAGACCACAGCTTCCACTATTCTCCGCAGTCTTCCCTCAAACACTGCCCCTCCACGCTATTTTATATTTACACAAAATACCCCGACGCTTCCTTATTTTTAAGCGGAGTACTACGTGTATAGTCAAGATGTTTTCGATCCCCCTGTTTACGGTTAGATTGCTAGAGAAAACGCAGCGTATGATTCGGGTCTCGCTATACGCTGGGGATTAGCTCTTCACGTATCTACGCGGGGGTGAGGACACCCTCCAGCTTCTGCAAATTGCAACGTCCACTGTACTGCTGGCACTGCAGCCATCTTGGAGTAAGACAGATAACTAAACATGGCTTCAGTCGGAGATAATCTCCGAGGAATCCAAGCAGCCACTTGGGGATAGCATACTCAGTAGAGGTATCAATGCGGTTCCAGAGGGCCCAGCATTCTGAAATTCGACTTAAGAATCCCGACTTGCTCATGGAAGCAGGGTAAGTTTAACTTCAACAGAATCATCGGAGTGACGAAAGCTAGCAAGACTGGTGCCGATGCGCTCAGGGAACTCTCATCCCGTGCTAATGTGTCACGCTTGTTACGCCTGCCCAAAAGATGGCCCGGGGCACCGCTTGATGCATCTGATGTGGAGTGTTCTTCTGTGTCTCCAACGGCCGACTAGGCAAATACGAGCCTGTTGAGGAGACTCTGCAACGCTGAAAGGCCACATTTGTGCTGGAACCACTTTCGAAAGCAACAATAGTCTTGATCGCGGGATCAGTTTCTTCGACGCTCTGTTAAGCTGTTATCGTTTCTGCGCCTTCTGCATTGAACGCCATTATGTTCTTTGTTATTAATGGTTTGCTTATTTCTGAGCTCTAGATGGAAATGACAGTTAATGATGCCAAATACCTTAGATACAGAATCGCAAGAGATATTTGCATTCAGAAAAATTCCACAGATGAACCAGGAAATGTGTCGCCTTTGGCTTGACTTAGCAGGCTGTTATCATGTCGCATGCATCGCCCATTCCCCAACCGAGCAGTAAAGTCTTTAAATATTTGTGTGCAAGTGTAAATTACTGCCTCCACGCCATCAGCGTGCCGGGCCTTTGCCTGGCTCGCCGTTAACCACGGAGCTTGCTTTGCACGTTCATCGCAGACCTGCAAGCTGCGTACCACAGAGTGAGAGTGAATTTTATGCTCGATTTAGAAGAATAATAAGGGTACTTCAGAAGAAGAAGTCGTCGACATCCGCAAACTAGGAGCCGAGTAAATCTGTGCGTCATTCCAACAGATCTATTCGTCCCCGCTCCCCGTATTTGCCGCTTGCAACTATCGTCATTGTCCATCCTTTTTAAATGAACTAACTTATTACTAGAGTTATTTACAATTAACTCTCAGGTAGTGACCTAAACCAACTCCGGAGCTCGTTGAGACTGTCGCTGCTCCGGCCGGCCAGGAAGGCCAGCTTGAAGCCCTCCAAGCTAGAGCTGAGCGCGTTTATACAGAAATCGGCTCAAACTGTTGACTGTATATCTGGTAATCTCACGAGGTACTTTTATTAGCGACTGCAGACACCGTGCCGCAAGGTGACCCCCGCACCGAGAGTGCTTAGGCTCAAGTATCCCTGGGTCGCAGCTCCGCCATATGCTTACTTAGGAGCTCTTCAAAAAATACGTAGATAGAATTTAGAAATGCTGAGACACAATGTGGAGTACGATAAGCTGTAACTGTTCAACTCGACCGCCGTTCGCATTCCGCCGGCAACTGCGATGGTGGTCCACTACTGGTATCTTCAGTCCATGAAAGAGTAACAAACCACAGAAGGGAGATTGGTAGATTCAGCTTCACTCCATTTCCTAGACTACAAAAGCGCTGGCACAACACGGAGCTAACGATGTGCATACGGGGGACGTGCAGGCAAGAGATCACTACTCACGAGGCCGCAAGGAAAGTACTCTACACAGTTGCCATACTTTTGTTTTGGTTAAAACTATAATGCTAATACAATTATACAGTGTGGGACTCTGCAGAATCGACTTGCCTGCCCCACACCGAGTCCCGTCGAGCAGCGACGTGAAGCTGAGTCCGTCGCTGACCATCGGTTTCGATGGGTAGGTGTTGGTGATGGATCCTGAAAGTGCGTCAGTAAGCATTGAGAAACGTTGAAAATTTTGAAGTTTCTACTAATACAGAGAGTGATATTTTGGTTGTAAAGTCCGAAAATGCGCAAAGTTCAACTTTTCTTACCGCTTTCCGCGGTGCTGTTGACCACCGTTCTCGCTGCGAACGGCTCAAATGAAACAGCAGACGTTTCAGTCCAAACCGTTTATCCTGATAACCAGAATGATGAAGCAACTTTGGATTCCAAGGGTGGCAATACCCCCGCGGACACGCGTAGGCGCGACGCGGCTGCCCTACTCCTCCTCACAGCTGTGGTAGCTGGTGTCTTCTTCGCTGTACAGACCTTCACGGCATCCAAACCCACGAAGCCGAGTGTTACTGAAGTCCCTTTGGAGCGCCCTCATGTACCAGAGGAGGAAGTCCCTGTAAGCAAGTGTTCGTCAGCGGGGAGACGCGCGAGGAGCATTCTGCGTAGCACGCGGGCATCTCTTCAGTAGCAGAAGAGCGTGAAGCATTGTTGAGTTGGTCCCTGTGTATAAGGTTGACTGGTAGGAGTTTGGTGACACTGTACTTGCTGCTGTGAGGAGCACCGCAGCTGGTGAACCAGTTGTCCTTGAGCATGCTTCCATGTCGTGACAACATCCTGAGGAGAATGCTCATGTCTTTTCTAGACAAGTGCAAGATTTCCGGCGACTGCAGGTGATTATACTTAAGGCGATGCCTGCCATTCGCAGAAGCTTTGTTTAGCCATGCAACTTAGTGTAAAACGAGACGGGCTGTAGGCTACGCCAGTGATGAACCAGAGAACTCCGGACGACTCAGGGAATTGTGCATTTTGGAAATTTAGGAGCACTGTAGGAATGCCACCGAGGTGGCCGTCATTAACAGTGTGCACATTCTGTGCAAGACCGTGGCAGCTAGTCCCTACAAGTAGTTCAGGGCATGCGACGGGGGCGTTGGATAGGAGGAGGGTTTTTCAGTCAAAGGTAACGACGGTGTAGTCGTTTAGCCCCGTGGTGCCACTCGTTGGGAGGAGGGAGACCCATTGCAGCTGTGTACGGCCAAGTAGTTGAGTGTGCACTGCTTATCTGCGGACCAGGCATGCAGTAAGATCGATGGGGGGCCTAATGTGCAGCAAGTACGTCAGGAGCCGCTTATGATACGGCCGCGACCGGCTGCGGCGTTAGTAGGCGTAGGAGGCAAGGTAGGCTCAGGCCAGCATCGGCGTACAGTTGTGAATGGTCTCATGTTTTCATGCTACATGCATGACACGCTCTTATTTCAGAAGACTTCGTCCTGAATGTATATGAGAAGGGCTGCACCCAATGCGTTAAGCAGCCTCTCTTGGCAGCCATCACACATGGGGGGCAGGCGGTTGAGCCAACAAGTGCAATATGAATGCCACATCATTTCTCTCGTGTCACTTACTCCGGAGTCTGTGGCTTGAGTGGCGGACGTACACCCTCTGTCCCGCACTGTATACATGTGCTTAAATTAGTGAGCACGGCAAGGGAGTTTTTTTTTCAAAGCCAGTATGTAGCTTTTCGTTGAGGCAAGTTGACGAGGGACGAAGCACGAGACTGGTCGGAGTGTCTTTCCGGGCTAGCCCAGTTCTAGTCAGAGTACTACTTCATGGCTGCGCCCGATAGGGATTGTGGAGCCAGAGATCGTTTCGTCTGGTTATGACGGCGTCAGACGGTGCGGTGCATTTGCTAGATGGCCCGGCAACTCGGCAATGCAGCAAAGCAGGCATTACTGCTGTGGCTGGGCAGAGTTCCTGTCCATAGTCCCGGCTTACTGGCTGTGTAACACGAGCATAGTATGGGGTAGATCGCTGGTGTCTCCCTATGTTCTTTAGTGTGCCACCACACACAGTAGATATGCAGTTCTTAGTGGGGACCGGAGGCTGCCGACAGTTTGACCTGCGTGCCGTCCCAAACCACCGTTGTGCCAGACGTGGAGCAGGATGCAGCCGAACGGCAGCGAATGGAGGTGCATTCTATAGCGGCAGAGTGGAGCAGGGAGTAACACCTCGGACGCTTAGGTAATCATGACTGGAGCTACTTTTTCTGAAGTGCAGTGTTGGACGGCTTGCCTGGGGTGGGCCCAGTTGCCTTCAGGCAACGCGGCCATGGAATATGTGCGCGAAGATGTTTTCGCATACCCGTGCTTTATTATTAGCTAGGCATTGCTTGAGAATGCGGTGAACGAACACTGGTGACGTATGCATCGTGATACTGGGAATGTTGCTCACACATTGCAGACAGGCGGGCTGACGCTTTGTGAGCGAACAAAACAGGAAATCCGAAAGGCATACGCATCCACAGGAAGTTAGTCCATATCGTGGAAATACTCGCTGGTGTAGGATTACTTGAGGAAATGTGTTACGCTGTGGCCATTGGGGCACTCGTGTTGAGCGGAAGTGCAGCTGACGCGTTTCAGACGAATCAGTGCAGACAGAAAGAGGCAGCGGTGCATATGATAGCCGATCAAGGACTTTCGGTGATCATGGTGTTCTACAGGAAGTTCGTCTCATGCGCCGACGTAAACATGCTTGAAGAACTGCACTTGCTGTGCATTCTTGAAGAACTGTACTTGCTATGCACCTGGAAAGGCAGGAGCAGAGCTCGTTGATGCACATTGGTACTGAGTCGTTTGGTAAGTGCTGATAACTCCACCATATATATGAAGGGAAAAACAGTGCAGAGCAACAAAAGGGTGTATACTAGCCAACCTGGTATCCGTGGGGATGGCTTCATTTGCAGGAAGTTAGTCTCATCTGGCGGAAGGGAGAGCTGCGGCAAAGTATGCTCCTAGTAGTTACATGAGGGAAAGCAGGAGCTGTTTGGCGTTTGTAGACAGGGTGGTGCTAGGCCCGCGAGTGTTCTCTAGCTTTGCCCAACAGAGTAGCGGCGTGGGAGGCAGTAGTGCGTATGCTAACAAGGTAGCTATCCCTGCAGCTTGCTGAGTCTACAGGAAGTTCGTCACATACCTGAGAGGTGATATTTGCAATGTTTGCTGAGGCACATTTGTGGAGGATTGTGGCTTCGGCAGTTGTGGAAGACATTGTGTGCTCTGGTGGATGCCGGTGTTTCACGCTTGTGCGAGGGTTGATGGATTCAGCGTGCGTTTACCATGTGTAGTAGGCAATGCTACAGCCTTCGTGCTAGTGGATGTTAGGAAGTATTGTGGGTTACAGAAGGAACAGGTTAAATTCCCAGCACCAACAGCATCGCACGGTAGTGTTCGTTGCTTGGTGCTCAGACTATGTTGCGGATGTGAAGGCGGAGCTTGCCGAGGACCAAAGCCTGTACGTTTCCTCCGTTAGGATAAACCGAGCCCACTATTAACTGCGAGGAACATGTGGGACGCCGTGGCTGACGTTGGCTGGCTCAGGGGTGCCATTCTGTGGTGGCTGTAGGCTTTAGCGTATGCTACAATACTTAGGATGAAATGCAACAAACGCCACTTGCAGCATTTGGCTTGCATCAGATGGTACGGTACCCTTCGTCGCATCTGGTGTAGCCTTCCTCCTGTTTTGATTGGGTTCGCAAAATGGTGGAATAGATACTTTGGCGGGTCGTCGAGTTTACAGCAAGTCTTTCACAGGTGCCTCCAAGGGGGCTCTCGAGAGTTTTCAGGTCTGGCACTAGCTGTTCTGGCCAAAATAGCGATCGTGTGCCCACGGATGGTGAGTGGAGGGATTAGATCCTTAGGATTAGGAAATAGTGCCAAACGCTACACCAGCGAGAGTAGCAGCAGGGGAAGAACGACAACGATCTGACGGATAAGCTGAGTCCATGTGGAGGCGGCCACGTAAGTTGTGTGACGTTCAAATGGGGTCTCCGCGTGCAACATGTTGGATGCGACAACTCATGGCGGTGTGTTGTGTCGCACTTATTTGCAACTTGATAAGAGGAGCAGTGAAGAGTACAGCTCGTGTGAGCACAACGGCCGAACAGGTAACTTAGTGGGCTGTTAAACTTTGCTTCCTACATCTTCTGCCGCATGGCCACGGTGGAATGCCGAGTGGGCGACTCTTGGGGATAACATTTGCGCTGGCGAACTTCTGGGTGAGCACTGACGGCTTTCTGGAGAACGAGTAGGAATAAGCTGGCACCAGGGAACGTAGGTGTAGTTGTGGTGGCCTCAATTTAGACACGGAAGGTACTTTCTGTGAAGCCGTTCTGTGTGCATATATCCCGTCAAATTTGCAGCGGGGCGCATCCACAAGGATGTACACCCACAGGGGCGGGATGCGCAAAGGAGAGGCAACGCATGTGATGCGGCGGGCATTGTTTTGAAGTGTGTCGGTGTGTACATTAGCTATCGTTGAATTGTCGCGGAGGATGCAGCACCAAGCAGATATTTGGAGAGGCTGTTGACTATGCAGGCCATTCTGCACTTGTGTAGCACGCTGGGTTCGCCAGTTGGCAGGCAAGCGGTAGTAGACGCCGAATCCAGTTCCGATGGATATTTCTATCAGCAGTAGCGGCGAGTGTAGGCAAGCCACTGGGAGGGTGCTTCAGGTGATGCACTGGGGAGGGGGACTTGCATTGATTGAAGAACAGAAATGGTTGCCTGAAGGGTGCTTGAATTTACTGGGAATTGTTCCCGTTTTTAAGGTACTGGCTGTTACAGGGAGGTCGACACCTCCGCTGCATTACGTATTTATTATGAACATTTCTGCCAGTACTTGCTTCTGAGGGAGCATGCATTTTGCTTCCTGAGTGTTCGCAACGGTGGCTCGTAAACGACGTTCAGACATAGCAGTATGGAAGACGGGTCTACTTTTGTCGATGGATGGCAGTAGTCTTTGCACACCAAAAAGGGAATTTGCTGGGTCGGGCTCATGAGCTTGCCGTGGCTGCTTCTGCTTCGAGTAACGGATGCTGAGAGAAGGCTTGCTGAGCCTCCTCCCCGCAATGTGGGACATCTGGAGGTCGTAGCCGGTGTTTGCTTTCTGCTGCAGTGGAGCAGTATCAGAACAAATTGCGAGCAGTGGACCACCTGAAGTTTGCTGGCTGAAATTTCTCTGTGCGTGATCGCGCTTGTAGCCGATTGAAAGGTCGGCAAGGCGTGAATTGAACGGTGCAGATAGTGCGTGCCATGCATTACATGGGGCAAAGTTTTGGCGACGCAGCACTTTGATACTTCTGCTGGCCAGTGTGCTAGGTCGCTGGGGCATGCTAAGCTGCGCCTTTAGCTGGTAACACATCTTGTGGGGTGAACTATGGCCTGCGCTGTAAAACACAACAACTGGAATAATTAGCGGCACTGGATATTGTTCCGTAACATGCTTACTGGCCCGATGATCCACAGGATGTCCGTCACATATGCTACACGGCACGGTACATTGCTGTGCATTATATATATATATATATATATATATATATATATATATATATATATATATATATATATATATAT